TTGAAAATTTGTGATGCAACCGTGTGTACCATGTGCTTGCTCCAGACGGCAACGTCTTGAACAGACATACAGTGGGTTAGAGACTAGAGTACTGCTGCAAAGACCCTAATCCAGCCCTCAAATAATAATAATAGTTATTAATAAATAATAATAATAATGTTGTAACCAGAAATTTTGAATTATTTTCGTTACTTTCTACAGTAATCCATCTACTATACTAAAATGCCTTGCTGAAAGTAATATTATATATCAGTATGAATTTGTTCAGTCGATCATAATTTTTTAGTATAGTGGTAGCATTAGTGAGAAAGAGGTTCAAGACAAAAGGGGTAGAAGAAGATCTAAAAAGATTTTGAAAGAGATTATAAGAGAAGATATGGAGTACTTGGAGTAAACGGAAGACTTTGTGCAAAATTGAGTGCAATGACGTTCTATGATTCATACAGCCGACCCTACTTAGTGGTAGGGATGGGCACTTGGAACCGAAACTTGAACCAAATCAGACTACACCGAACGGTTTGATTTTTGCAGTTTGGAAACGGTTTTGGTTTGAAATTCAACCGCAGTTCAAAAAAATGGTTCGATTTTGGTTTTGAACGTCTAAATCCTACTGAAACCGAAACGCACGCATCGCAAAAATTAAATAAATATTTAGCTTAATACCATTGGCTGTTGGGTTGTAAAGGGCCTCATATATATGGAAGACAAGCATAGAACAAATGAGGTATATTTACATGAATATTTAGTCAGTGTTTTTGCTTCTCAGCTTTGAAAAATCGATACGATATGGTGCTATTCCTACTACTATATTCTCTAATACATTTTTTTACGCAAGTATTTCGAATAATAAACTATTTTGATCTTGCAGTTCATCAGATGAACACTAATTACCAGGCATTGCAGGTGCACCTTGTGAGACTGATGCAACGCCGGAAAAATCAAAGGGGTGTTTTGATATAGGCGCCTCAGTTTTGAAATTCTTAGATTTAACATCCATAGCTTTTAAACTTTTGATCAAACATTCTTATCTAGTTTTTAATAACAAAAATTACATATATTTGGTTTACCAATCAAATGACAATTTCAAACGACACTTTTCATTACTCAAATAAAAAAATATCATTAAAATTCTAAAAATACAACTAACATGCTATTAATCATAACGTACCAATTATGAACATGATATATGAATGGACATATGTATTAAACATAACGTACCAATAACTTGGTACATAATTGGTACATTATATAATCTTAGTTTTGGTACGTATTAATATTTTGGTACATTATAGATTACTAATTTTGGTACGTTATGTGATTCTTGTTTTAGTAAGTACCATGGTATTGGTACAATGTGTTAACCTAATTTTGGTACGTACAATCTAGTGGTACGTTATGATCTTTAAAAAAAAAGAGAATTTTTCATATTAAAACTTTGTATTGAAAATTAATTATATCAAATTCTTAACAATTAATTATTGGGATAATGACTCAATCAAAATTTTCAAACTTATTTTCTTTCCACAAATTTAGGGATTTTAGATCGTATCAGTTTCAATATAAATAACTCTTATTTCATTTTTTCTTTTTCTTTAAAATTTACTCAAAATGATGAGTTGGAAATTAAAAATGACATGGATAAAGATGGAAGTACCTTAATCAAAATACAAAGTGTTTTAATAAAAAATTAAAAAAGCACAAATGTTTAATTAATAAGATATAGAATTGGAGCGCTTTTATCTAATTAATCCAAAATCATCAAAAGAGTGATCATCAAACTGCAGAACAACAAAAGGTGTGTGTGTGTGTGTGTGTGTGTGTGTGTGTGTGTGTGTGTGTACAGTGTGTGTGTATAAACTATTGTGTAATTATTTCATCAGTCAAATTGATGCTTATCTAAACAGACGGTGATACAAATTTACAATATAAAACGTAAGTACCTATATGACAACATTAATGTTTATTTCAAGTTAAATTTGAGGATGGTGATCATTAATTTTTTTTTTCAATTGCGTTGTATTAATGGCAAAAAGTATTTAGTTTGCAAATGGTTCGAAACCAAAACCAAAACCGTTAATTTGAAACCACACCTAACACAACTAAATGGTTTGATTCCATTTCAGTTCAAGCTTCAAAACTGCACCGAAACCAAATTGCAAAAAAATTTGGTTGAGGTCTTGGTTTTGGTTTCACCCAAAATGGCACCGAACTAAACTGTGCTCACCCCTAGTTTGTGGGATAAGGTTGGTTCGTTGTTGTTCTTGTTATTGTTGTAGTGATAGCATTACTGACTTTAATAGTTAGTTGGTAGGAGAAAGAGAAATGGATGAGGATTGAATCCACACCAAGATGCATAAGCGAAATTATTTTTCGTCACTGTAATACAGCGTCATCTGCAGTTGACATTTTAATCTAGCTAGCCTAAGTTCAGCAACTTATTGTTTTTCAAAAGTTCAAATTAAAAATAGAATTCTTAAGTTAGAAAACTATTAGATCCTAGCTTTATTTATACTACAGGATCTCAAACCTTGTTGTTTACCTCCGGTTGCATGCCTATACTCGTGTTTCAATGAACGCAGTGGAATGGTGAACCAATTTGTTCAAACCAAATCGTACGATTGAAACAGCATTACAATCCTTTATTATATTCATGACGATGTTAGGACGTAAGCCAAGTTCAATCCTGAAATATACCAAGGTTTTACCGAGGTATCAAAATCTGAATGTAATTAGGGTAATTTGATAATCAACTTGATTTCTGTTTCTATTATACTTCACTAATTCCTAAACTATCAAGTATCGGTCAATTTCATACCTTCAATGACCTTCTGAAGGACTCGTGGTGAGGTATCCTTACCAAAGCATAAGAGTTTCTCTCCAACCATGAGGCCAATCACAACGGGACACATGTTAACATCAAAATAAAGCACCTAAAGTCCCCAATCGACCGCGAACAAAACCGAGCAACTCTTCTCAACAATAAAGGTAGATCATTCTCCTACAATTAGTTCCTAATGTCATTATTATATTAAACTCATCAATAGAACTCACTAATAATGATTATGCTTGAACCTATGTATTGTGTAAACTCTTCATTATGAATGAGAACTCCTCTACCCGTGGACGTAGCCCAATTTAGGATGAACCACGTACATCTTGTGTTTGCTTTCCTAGCTCCATCTCTTTACATATTATCCTCACTAGGTGATCGGAGTAACCTTGCGAAGGCCACAAACTTTACACTTTACATTGTTCTAAAGTCTCACTGATTTTGTACATCAACAATTTCAATTTGGTTTCAATTCCCAATTTAAGTGCATTAGTAAACAAGTATATATGAAATCAACCACACTTCTACTCACTATTCTAAAAATCTCTGCCTAGCGCCGCCTAGGGATTAGGCAATTGGTCGCCGCTCCGATTAATGCCTAAGCGTTTGAAAATTAAGAAAGAGCGCCTACACCTATTGAGGCAGCTACCTAGACCGCCTAGGCACCCGCCCAAACCCACCTAGGCACTAGGATCCAGCCCGCTGCCCGACTAGCACCTAGCGCCTTTTAGAACCTTGCTTCTACTATGATTCTAGATAACTTTGACCCTCTTTGGTATTGCTTTTTTCACCAAAAGCTGCTTCACTTTAAAGTTAAGTAGTAAAAAAGTGTTTGGTAAAAGTAAAATATCCTGCTTATTTTAAAAATAATGTTCTTCGGACAATAACTTTTAAAAGCAGCCTGTAGATTGCTTATTAGAGCTGCTTTAATAAAAAGCTAACTTGAGCCTTTAATAAATATTTTCAATTATTGTAATACCTTCATTAATCTTTTGAAAACAACAAATTTGCCCTTCGACACACATTTTATCTCTTAGAGAATAAAGTGACTACTACAACCTCAGACCACGATTGTTGTCACTGCACCACCATAACCACAACCTCCATTACTGTAATCACAAAAACAACCACCACTACACCATTGTGACCACCATCATTACCACACCACCACCACCACCACCGCAACCGCAACCCCCACCACTATCACTGCAACCATAACCTCCATACCACCATTGTCACCACCATCATTGCCACCACAGTCACCACTATAACAGTAACTGCCACCATTGCCACCACATCTGCCACTACCACAATTGTTACCTCTGCACCCCAACCACCATATCTCACTATTAGCATCACCATTGCAACCGTCATCGCCACCACCATTACCACCATTGTCCTTGCCACTACTGTCGTCGCCTCACTCCTATTACTTGTCGTTGCATACAATTAATTATATCAATTTTACATTAAATTTTACCAAACGCTCTTACACTGCTTTTTAAACTCACATCACTTTTAAAATACGGTCAACCAAACGCTTATCTACTTTACTTTACGTCTGATTATTCTCAAAGTACAACATAATCAATTTTTGTAAAAAGCACACCCATACCAATATTGTTACCTCTGCACCCCAACCACCATATCCCACTATAATTAGCAGCACCGCTATACCTCCACCATTGCTGCTACCATCACCACCGCTGCAAACACTACCCCCACCACCATTACCACCACTATCCCCGCCGCTATTATTGTCGCCCCCACTCCTACTACTATGTCCATTATGTCATTGTATGAACTAATTATATCACCTTTACATTAAATTTTACCAAATGCTTTTATATTGCTTTTTAAACTCACAACACTTTCAGGATACATTTAACCAAACGTTCATCTTCTTTACTTTACAGCTGATTGTTCTTAAATTGTAAAAATCATTTTTGTAAAAAACACAACAATCACAAACTGACCCTTAGTAAATAACTTCAACATGAATTAAATTATCAGAAGTTGAATGTACCATCGGCAATGTCGGCATCGATAAGTAGAGGAGGCTTAGGACAAAACTTAGTACCATTTTTGGACACCAACTGATGCTGGGTGTGGGTATTATTGGGGGAAGGGCAATCAGGGCCCTAACTAGAACCGGCCTTGTCCCTATCAATTTTTTTTTTTTTTTTAAAAGGTGCTTTAATTTCCCTCTAAAACAAGAATTAAAACCCAGCATTTTCAAAGCCGTGCAAGTCGCCAACTCTATTCAGCGATTTCTTCATCATGGCCACCTTAGCCAGCTTCTCAGCCGCTCTCCAAGCCGAAGTCGGTGTGAGAGGCTCCTCATTTCATCCAAAACCGCTGTCGCCGCCGCGTCCCTTTCACCACCGCCTCTCCACCGTTGGATCATCATCATCTGCTGCTCCTCCTCCATGATCTTGTGCTGTCTTCTGCAATGCAGCTCTGACAGCTCAGCTTCCAAGACGCGCACGTACTCGTCAGTCGATACTGAGCCGGACTTCATGAGCAGAGCCCGAGCCGACGCAAGCAAATGATGCGCACTAGAGTAGTCATTGTGCTCAACCAATCTCCGTGACTCGGCTACGGCGCGGGTTGTAATAAACAGCCCTCTCAACCTTTCACTCTTCGGACACGACGAAGATCCCACGGCATCCGCGAGAGGTACTAACAGTGCCTGTTTTCTGCCATACATTATCTCCTGAGTAGCAGGATCCTTGTAGAGACAACTGACGGACATTACAGTTCGGGGTCCACGAGCTCCAGGAGCTCGTGGAACTCGCAACTCCACAAGAAGCTCCCTCTCCTCCTCAGCGTATAAGTCGCCGAGCCGAACAGAAGCTGACCCGTGCATTGCTGGCCCACCATTGCACGAATATATAGCGGATATCTCCGCGGGAGCCGAGCCGGAATCGAAGCCCAGCTGAATTCTCAAGTCCTGCACCACCATACTCACTATTCCACCAACGCATTTGGCAAAGGCGTCCTCAGCCGGCGCCTGGCCAACGCCGCCGGTTTTGCGGAACCCGAAATCATGAACCGGGATTTCAATGTGAGCGAACCGGGTGGACGATACTTGGCTTGAAATTTGACTGATGATTGCCCGATGTTTTCACCCTCTCATCATGACCGTCGGATAAGAGCATGACACTGGCCACTGGATTCTTCTCTCTCCGATCATCAAGCACCTTAGTCGCCTTCCTCAAGGCGTCACCCACACTCGAACCTTGGCCGCATGCAAGCCGGTCAACGACCCTTCTAGCCAAACGTTGACCATGAGCCGTCATTCTCTTTAACGACAACAACCTTTTCGTCGAAGCGGAAAAAGCGACAATCGAAAGCCGGTCGTTGGAGCCGAGCGATGAAATGACCAAACGCATGGCGCGTTTCAACATCTGGAGCTTCGCGCCGGTCATGCTTCCGCTGACGTCGAGCACCGTTACCAAATCGATCGGCGCGCGATGCGACGGTTTAAAATCGGCGGCGGTGGTGCCTTGACCCGCAACGCCACGACGCAAGCGTCGGAGCCCCGACCCGAACAGAGCAAAGCGGATTCGGGCAAAATCCGCACCTGAACATTATTATTGGTTTTAAAATCTCTGCAGTTGGTCTGGGCATCGGAAGATGAAGAGTTGGGATTGACGAAAAAACCCTGGAACTCTTGGACGTCGTCGGTCTTGGGGTCTGCGACGGCCTCGTCTTCTGCCTCCTCGTCGTCGGCTTCTGGGATGGGGATGATCCGAGACGTCGGAGAGAGAAGAGACTCGTCGTCGTCGTACAATGGCTTGGACGAGGCTCTCGGTGATGATGTGGACTCCATTACTATCTTTTTGTCGGCCTCGGCGGGCTTGGATTTGGGTTTCTGCTTTGGGGTGGTTTGGCTTCGGATGACGTCGTTCTGGGCGGCGTTGTTGTTGTTGTTGTTGAGGTTTTGGTGGATGGCGAGGAGAGGGACGTCCTTCCAGGTGGAGCTGCAGACGGGGCAGACGAGGTTGCCATGGCTGCGGACATGGATAGCAATGCAAGGGAAGTGAAAGGAGTGGCTGCACTCCGCCGTGTAAATGGCGGTGCCTTGGCCGGTTTTGACGCTGTTCAAGCATATCCCGCATCTGCTCTGTAAAAGTTCAAAAACACGTCGAAATGAAAACAAATTTCAATTTACTGGGTAATAAACTGATTAACGAATTAATGGTTGGATTATCATTAACATAAGAGTTAATTACCCGAAATTTGAAGCTGTTTCGGAAGAGGGAGAGCTTGAGAGGTGGTCGAGGAGAAGTTGGGTTGGAGCTCGAGAGAAACGACGTTCTAATACTGTTTGGAGTACTGGTTTTGCACTCAAGTTTTCGGGGATTTTCATGGTCGCCAACCTGGTTTTGCAACCTCGAGGTAGTAGGATTGCTGCCACCGGAGAAGAAACCGAGCCTGGTACAGCTTCTGGGAGTGGGACTTGGACTGGGACTTATCTTTTCAGAGAGAGTGGATTCTTCGGCTGGATCTCGAGGGATTGTAGTGCAGAAATGTCGCCTCCAACCAGTTCCCATTTCTCAATTCAAACTCACAGAAAAATAAAAGATCATAAAAAGCAGCACAATAATATTATGTATATAATTAATCTAGTTTAACTTTTAGAGAGCAGACGAGAAAGAAGAAGAGCATAATTGAGAAAAGGGCAGAAGACAAAAGGGGAAGAAGGAATTTAGGAAGAAGAGAAGAGAAAGCATGGGATTAATAACAAGAGAGAGAGTTCCTGGTCCTCTATGCTCTTGGTCTGGCCTGTAGACTTCCTTCTCTCTCCTTATTATTTTGGCTTTTTTTTTTTTTTTTGGTAAAATATTTTGGCTTTTTATTTGTTTTTCTTTGTATTAAGAGCACCAGAAATATCTCTGCAACCAAAAAAACTAGAAATCTACTGCTGCTCTCTCTCTCTCTCTGCTTTACGTGTTTAATTTAAGAGATTTTCTGAAATTTAATATTTATTCGTATTCGTTAAAAAAATGTGATATAAGATTTTTCCCTCGGTAACCATGATGAAAATCCTTCGCATCCCCACAAATTTATGCGATCAATTTTTATTAAACATTTTTTGTATGTAACTGTAAATAAAAAATTAAAAATAATTTTTAATTATATAATGTACAATAAATAGATAAAATATAAAGATGACTAAGATTCTCAAAAGAGAACACCCAGATAAAATTCAAATCCGTCCCCAGCCAACTCACCAGGACTCTCTCTCTCCTCATCAGCATTCTCTCCATGCATTGTGTAAGAGACTTGTCGTCTCACGCGCCTGCTGCTTTCCATTGTGTAAGGGACGTGAGCCTTGTGGAGATGACATGTCATTTCAATTTTCATTTTTCACCCTCCTTGCATCAGTAGAAATGATGGTGGTGAAAAGGAAAAATGGAGTACATGGAATGAGAGAAAGAGAGAAAGAGACAAAAAATGGAGTATACGGAATGAGAGAAATAGAGAAAAATGGAGCACATGGAATGATAGGGCTGTAGAATCCAAAAAAATATGGTAGCAACTCTGGTACAGTAATACCGCTTAGTATTACATATAGTGATATTTCTCTTCATTTGTAAGTGAGAGGTCTTAGGTTAGATTCTCGTCAAAGACATCGTTGAACCACATTATTATGACAATCACATTGTAAGGTTCAGTTCACCCCTTCACCTCCTTAGTATAGATATTATCTTTTGTTAAAATAAAAAAAAATCTGGTATAGTAATGTACTTTTTTTTTTAACAAATGATATTATTTACATTAAAAATATAAAAGAATCAAATATAAGACTTCTTAGAAATAAAGAAAAATAATACTAAACTATAGTATTAAGTGTTGTATTGTTAATATTCATCTAGCTTATTAATATTTCAATGCACTTCGAGCCGCAGAACATTAGCCACACCCAACCAAAGCAATGGCATAACAAAATGGCATGTAGTAGGTGTCAACCAGTTCAAGGTTAGTGTCAAAAAGTTAAAGATGTATATGCAGAAAGGTGTCAACAAGATCAAGGTTAGTGTTAAAATAATTATTTTATTCCAAGACATAAAATTGACACACTCAAAGATATCTGGGTCTTACAATCGTATATTTGGTCTATATGTTTTAGGTAGTGTGTTGGTAAGATGTGTCGAAATAACATTGCACGTACCAAAACGTTTAGCCTCTAAGAATAATATTGAAAATCGGATTCTTAAGTTTTAGCATATGATACCATATGTAAAAACTTCTATTTTTATCTGTGGAAACTGAATTTCATCGTCATATGAGGGAGTTTCCCATGGATTGAAAAACACTACTCTAATGAGATTGCCTCACACAGAATACAATAAAGATTATCCATCCTGCATTCAATGAGGATTACTGTTGCACTTATCTCATTTTTCATACTATATTTTTATTACATCTCTAATAGAGATAGAGTCCACCAATACATGAGGTTTTCATCACTATTACAGAGATAGTACAAATATGACATGAAAAATATGGTAAAAGTAGCATTTTAATTTAGGGGTGTGCTATCCACACACCCTTTTTTACTTCTCACACACCTCTTGTTGATTTCTGTCTCTTGAGCTTCTTCAATTCATCTGATCTGATGGCCGAAAATCAAAAGGGTGTGTGAATATCACATCCCTTTAGTTTAACGAGGCAAGCATGGCCTCGATTTACGGGCTACAAGTTCTGGCCACTTTTGTGTAGTTCACGTATTAGACATTTTGGATATGACCAAAGGCTCGTGTTATTTTATATGCAATAAAATTAAAAGAAGGAAGCTATGTCTTAATGAAGAAATGAGATAAAAGAATTGACAATTCAATAGTTAATAGATTATTTGTTGTTGTCATATCCCAAAAGTGGATGTTGTGAACTTTTCGTGTTGTACATATTGACCCATCTTTGGTTTGGCATGGCTGTTTTGTGTCTATAATAAATGGATTCAAAGAGAACATCGAGATACACAAGACTCGATGCTATGCATGAAACCAGTCAAAATTTGAGTGAATTATGTCGTTTACCATGTTTTGTTCGGATTTTAATATTTTAAGATGATTTTATATTTCGTTATTTGTTTAAGTTCTTTCCTACTTCGTATTGAGATCCAAAAACGTCACATGTAAGCCAAATCATGTTTCAAAGCCCAATTGTTATACAAACCTCAAACCAAGCCCAAAATACATGCAAGGGTGCGAAGTTGAGAAAGGATAATATTCAGAATCATGTCATTGTACGATAGTTATACAAGACGTTTGTACAAATCACGCCAAGCTCATGCAAGTCCATGCATATTTATCATGTCATGTCTTATCACGCTAACTACTATTCACGCTAAAATAAGCCCAAGTCACGTGCTAGGGGCTTGCCAAGTGAATTGTGGTGTGATGGTTACGAAAGTTTACCGAGCCTATACAAAGCCAAGATTATGGAAGACTTTGGGTTGCTTGGGGGACCAAAGATCCAAGCCCATAATTTTTTAAGTTCACGGCAGTAAGTTTGAGATAGAACAAACTTAGTTTCCTTCTTTCCCTAGCAAGCCAACCAATCTAATTAGAAAGAAACCCAAATCTCCCTTAAGTTCACGTGAGAATCCAGCCAGACATGCATTTAATGAATAGAGAGTACTTTCCCTTCCTAACTCACATAGAAGAATGACACATGAAAGCTAGGAGACGCGCTACTAGAAGTAACGCATATGGAAGCTGACTCGAGAAAACAGCGCCTAAGGAATGAGGTGCACTACAGTCTTCATGAGCGTAGTAGCGCTCAGCTGTCTTACACCAAAAGGGAAGGTTGCATCCATGCCAGGATAAAGAAGGAGGAACATTTAGACACAATGAGAGATTCCTTAGGAAGCCTAGAAAGGAATCATTCACCTACAAAAGGGAGGTCAAAAACCTTAGGAAAAGATCGAAGAACTCAACCCAGGGAGAAGGAGAGAACGTTAGGATTAAGGATTATGCTGCAACAATCTAGGGAAATTACTTTTTTAGTGCCAACAACCTAAAACCCTAGTAAGCATCACCCCTGCAACCATAATTAGTGTTCTCCATAACCTTCCTTTGTGCATTTCAACCATTAGAAACCTTGTTATTACCCTTAGAAACCCAGATTACCCCACATAAAACACCATGCAACCATGCAAAGTCTCTTCTCTCGCGCTAAACTGATAAACTTCTAGCTTCCACACCATAACTCACTTGAACAAGCCATTATTTGCTTAATCATGCTATATATATCGTTGAGTCATTGATCCAACCGGGGTATTTCTAAGACATGCTACTTCTTACAATATATTCCAGGACTTGTACGAAACCAAACCAAGGGAGACAAGAAGACATCTGCAAAACCCAAGTCCACCTCGACCTAAAAGTCCCCCAACATTTGGATTCTTAGGGTTTCTAGAGTAAATTTGCATTATAAATAGGTCATCTTGGCTTTAGGTTTGTAATCATTCATATTATTATCCATCCAACTTTAAAGTTCTCTATTTTCTGGTAGAAATCGAATTGTTGATGGATTTCAACTTATTTGCTAGTGGATTCTAGCGTGGAGATTTCGTACGATTTTTCTTGTCATATATCTGTTGCATCATCGAGTAATTTTTTTTTTTTTTTTTCCAATCTAAGGGAGGGGAACTGATCAGGGAAGAGAAGAGTTGATCTTTGAACGTGAGAAATGTTGTAACACAAGAACCATTAAATAGGTGGAACTTTAACCATTTTAAAGACCAATTTTTGAAATATAACCTAGTTTATTCAATTCTTATAAAACTAACCAATATAGATGTCCAGAAGACTTAGGCTAAAACTCTCTCTTCCTCCCAACATTGTGATTTTTTTACCCTAAGGCTCATCTCCACTATTAAACCACCAGGGTCTAGGCACCACTGCACTACTTTGTTATTTCTACTCCAAAGCAATTAAACCAAGAGATCAGCACACAAATCACTTATCCCAAGCAAGTGCCACGTTTTCCTTACCACAAACCTTGTAGTTAATGCCCTTGACCACATGATGAGTACTTTCATGATTGATACCCAAGTTGTAATAGAGTAGTCATTTAGATTTATAATAGTTGGAAAAAGTAAGCCATATTTCAATGGGTTGTGATTTTCACACACTCATAATTACTTTTCCCACACTCTTCCTATTTGTTAATACTTAATTGGTATCCTACTATTTAATCTTCCATATATACCCTTCCTACTTTTTGATGGTAATTAATGAAAGATTAAATAGGGAGGGGTATTTATGGAAGATTAAATAGTATGATACAAATTAAGTATTAAAAAAATATGAAGGGGTGTGGGAAAAGTAGTTAAGGGTGTGTGAAAATCATAACCCTATTTCCATACGTGGTCTCTAAAATGGCTATATTTCCAAAATTTCCCATTAATTAAGTGCCGCCAAAATAATAACGGATGTTTGGAGAAAACAACTCTTAAGCATGAGGATTTCGTTCGACTTCCTTGTTCAATATAACCGCTGCGTCAAAACAAATCTTAAGCATAGCAATGCCTAATAAGGAAACCCAGTATGGTTGGTTGTAATCGACACACCCAAAAATGGTGGCACAACCATGAATGTTACCAAGAATGTCTAGTATGGCGCCAGGCGTTCCTCATTGCGTCTCTCCAAGTCAAACAACTAATTGGCTCGATATGCAAAATAAGGAGTCTCAAGCCAGTGACAGGGTCTCAAACCCACCATCAAAGCACCACTGCACCACTAGGAGTAACCATCGAGTTCAGCTCTACTAGCATAAAAGACATAGCCTCAATCATGAGCTATAGGTAGTTTATCTTGCAACAAATCTTAAGCTCTTAAATCGTCAGTTATTTTTAAGTCTAGCTAACTTAGATATTCAAGATCCCTTCACTTAACCCACACTGGTGTTGATAAATTGTTGTACATATATACTGATATATATATATATATAGCAGGAGGCTTTTTAATCAGTTGTTTAAGCTTTTGTATCAGTTGGTTTAGGCCAACAATGCCTTATAAATATGATCGTCTCTACCTACAACTTTGTACCCATGATGAACGTAATCATTAAAATTCAATCTAACACTTGATTCTTATGAAAAAATAATGTTATCCAAGAATACCAACAAGTTGTGCACTCTCAAATATACACGAAT